ACGAAAACGTACGGAGCTGGTTGAGGGGATCGGTCTCGATCCAGCGGACGCCGGCGCCGTTGGGCCCGAGGGCCACCTCCTCAAACTCCACCTCGTCGTTCTCCTCCTCCGGCTCGAGCGCGATCTTGGCGCACGGACCCACGCGCGCACCCGTGCCGACCACAGCCTGTCACGCGGGACAATAGCGCATCATTAGCGACATACGACACGCACGACACACACGGGAGAGTAGACGCACTCGGAAGGAGACAAGGCTGGCCTTGTCGACGACCGCGCCAGCCATGATGCGCGCCTCATTGCAGACGATGGAGTAGGAGATCGTAGCGCCGTCGGCCACGGTGGCGCCGTTCCAGATGTAGGAGCCCACGATCTTCACGTTGGCTCCGATCTTGCAGTTGCGTCCGATCACCGAGTGCGAGATGAATGTGTTGTTGCCAACCTCGGTACCCTGCATCACACCACGATGTTAGTCCACGGTGTTGGGTGCCAAGAGGGTCGAGCGCGCGGGAGGGGGAAGACCTGGCCGATGACGGTGTCGCGACCGAGCGTGGCGGAGCGGGCGAGCTTGATGCCCTCCTCCTGGTATATGTTGCCGCGGAGATACTTGTACGACGTGGTGCCCATAAAGTTGCAATCCGGCACCATCGGGTAAGCCCACCTGGGTACCACAACACGCACGACACACATTCAGGCACTCATGACCACACACACACACACACACACGCGACGAAGATGGTCCGGGCGCTTCACCTGTGAATGATGTCCTTGCTCACGGAATCGTAGGTGCGGAGGATGTTGACGCGCGCGGCGTACTCGGTGGAGATGATGTGGGTGAAGATCTTGTACTTGTAGACCTCGTCCACGACCACGCCGCGGATGAAGTCCTGCCGGAGGTCGTTGTAGTCAAAGTTGTCGGCGCACACGGACAGCACCTCGGGCGAGCAGATGTCGATGCGGCAGTCGAGCAGGTCGTATCTGAACTGCACGCTGGAGTTCTCGGCAAAGACGTCGGTGTCGAGGTTGACGGCGTCCTCCTCGCGATCGTTCTCCAGGTTGAGCAGCTGACCCGTCGCCGGGTTGATCACCACCACGCTGTCGTCCTCCTGCGACCTGCAAGTCGCAACGCCAACACCACAATTGCTCAGCAACACAACACGACACACGACACACACACCACAAGTTAAGTGGAGACGCACCTGGAGCGGTGGTTGGGAGCGGCCTTCTTGTAGACGACGGTCATGATGGTGCTCTTGTCCTGCTTCCGGCGGGCTCTGTTGTGTTTTCGAACGCGATGGTGAGAAGGACAGTGGGGGGAAACGAAGAAGGAAATGATGAGGTGGAAGTGTGGTGGACCTGTGAGCCTGGAGCACGGGCTGGAGCTTCATGTTGGAGATGACGTCGCCGCTCACGAGAACGAAATCAGAGCTGATGATTTGCAAGTTGTAGATTTCCCTGAGGGCGTCGCCCGTGCTGAGGCACCGCGTCGAGGCGATCGTGCGAATGACCACATTGGGCGTCTCCGTCCATCGTGATTGGCTGCAAAGCAGAGTAATTAATGTGAATAATAAAGAAACCAAAAAATCAACAAAATCGGTTCTACCTGATGTAGGCCTGTATTTGTTGCGCTTTCCAACAGCAGAGAATGAAGATCTCCTGTACGCCGGCTCCAACGAGGAACTCAAGAGTGTAGTCGATAGTGGGCACGTTCACCAGCGGCAGCAGTGACTACACGTACGCCCAGAATAATTAGAGGGGGGGTATTTGGAGAAGTTGGCAAACAAACATACCCGCGGCATCTCGAGCGTGATGGGGTAGAACTTGGTATCGAAGCTGTCCGCCAGCACCACGGCCTGCAGAAGATCTCCGTCCATCTTGATTGCTGTTCGAAATCAACAACGAGATTAAAAATGCAGCGGCAATACCAAAAGAAACCATGAAGGAAAATAATTCGCCTGCTTCGAATTCTACGTAAAGTTTCGGTGTTTCGAGGAAAAGAGCGCCCAAGGTGAAAGATTTGGCGCGAAACTGACAAACGAATCACGCAACAAGAGGAAACCGAAGGCCTACACGCGCTTCAGCATCCCAACACGTAGCATAATGTCGCGTTCATTTGGTACGCGCCCTTGTTAGACCTTATGATTTGCGGTCATGTGAATTGTGGATGCCAACAATAATAGCGTTCGATGATGGGCTAATTTCCGGATAAATGTAAAGGTGGTATGAGCAAATTCGGAGGAGGTAGCGGCTTCCCGCAGCAGCAACAGCAGTACGGCGGTGGTGACTCGTACGAGCCCAGCGATTTGGGCGGAGGGGATGGTGGCGGATTCCAGGGCACACAGGGCGAGGGAGACACCCCGCGCTCGGCGAAGCGCTCGGGTGCCATCGTGCAGACTCTCACGCCCGTGACCGTTCGCCAGCTGCACCTCGCCACACACACGCACCCCGACGACATTTTCAAAGTCGACGATCGTGAGCTCAATCAGGTGCAGTTGGTCCAAACTCGCTTTTTGTTGATTTAATAATATGAACCTTCGTCATTTCCTGCAGATCACGCTTGTTGGCCAGATCGTGAACTTGCAAGTGCAATCCACGAACGTGGAGCTCGAAGTTGACGATGGAACAGGCAAGATTGGCGTGCGTATGTGGCTCGACGTCGAAGAAGAGAATCAATCCTCGAGGAAGTGGGAGTACGTGCCTGCCTCGCCGTTCCCTCAAAGTCTAGCGCTAACGCGTCGTTCGTGGGCTTCTCTTAATTCACCTGCTACCATCATCAGTGTCGGCTCGTACGTGCGCGTCATCGGCAACCTGCGCTCGTTCATGGACACGCGAAGCGTGCTCGCCTTCCGCGTGATGCCCATCGAGATGTACGACGAAGTGACCTACCACTTCCTCGATGTCATCCACGTACACCTTGCCGTCACCAAGGGCGAACTGGTGCGCAGCTCTCCTCCTCCTTCTCTTTTCTTGAGCTCAAACACGCAGTAATTGGGGGCACATCTGACCACTGGGCCAACTACAGGACGCCACCGATTCCTCTTCGGCGGCCAGTGGCGGTCGTGGCACCTCAGGTTACGGCGGCGCGCAGCGTGGCGGCGGTGGCGGCGGCGGCTACGGGCGTCAGGCTGCTCCTGCCGGTCGTGCTGGCGGTCAGTTCTCGCCCTGCCAGAAGGCGGTGCTGGAGATCATCAGAACGTCGGGCAGGCAGAGCGGGGCCGGTTGCGCGCTGGGCGAGGTGATCGAGGTCCTGCAGACTTCGTTCTCCGAGGAGGAGCTCAGGGAGGCCATCGAGTGGCTCACGGCCGAGGGGCACCTCTACACCGCCGGCGACGACTTCTTCCGGTGCTCCGAGTAAGCGAGTGTCACTCAACCGCAC